AGAACAGGAACAAGACAAGAATGCCCTTTATCGCTACTGCTATTTAACATTGTGCTGGAAGTCCTAGATAGAGCAATAAGGCAAGGAAAAAAAGGGCATCCAAACTGGTAAGGAAGAAGTTAAACTGTTCCTGTTTGCAGATGATATGATACTATACATAGAAAACCAAAAGACTCCATGAGAAAACTGCTGGGCTAATAGAAAGATTCAGTAGAGTAGCAGGATGCAAGATAAACACAAAAATCAGTTGGATTCCTATACACCAATAAAGAGAATGATGAAAAGGAAATCAGGAAAACAATACCATCTATAATAGCCCCTAAAAAAATAAAATACTTAGGAATAAATCTAACCAGGGATGTAAAAGACCTATACAAAGAAAACTACAAAACATTACTGCAAGAAACCCAACGGGATCTACATAAATGGAAAAACATACCATGCTCATGGATAAGTAGACTCAACATTGTGAAAATGACAATTCTACACAAAGCATTTACAAATACAATGCAATCCTGATCCAAATACCAACAACATTCTTTAAAGAGATGGAAAAACGAATCATTAACTTTATATGGAAAGGGAAGAAGCACTGGATAAGTAAAGCACTACTGAAGAAGAAAAAGAAAGTTGGAGGACTCGCACTACCGGACCTCAGAACCTACTATACAGCTACGGTAGTCAAAACTGCCTGGTACTGGTACAACGACAGATACATTGACCAAGGGAACAGAATTGAGAACCCAGATATAAATCCATCCACCTACGGTCACCTGATCTTTGACAAGAGCCCAAAGTTCATCAAATGGGGAACAGACAATCTTTTTAACAAATGGTGCTGGCAAAACTGGATGTCCATCTGCAAAAAAATGGAACAGGACCCATACCTCACAACATATACAAAAACTAATTCAAAATGGATCAAACACCTAAATATAATGCCCAAAACTATTAAGTTCATAGAAGAAAAAACAGGATCAATGCTAGAGGCCCTAACAGATAGCATTAACAGGATACAAACCATAACCAACAACACACAAACTCCAGAAGATAAGCTAGATAACTGGGATCTACTAAAAATGAAACACTTACACTCTTCAAAAACACTTTACCAAAGGAGTAAAAAGAGAACCTACATACTGGGAAAAATTTTTTGGCTATTACAAATCCAACAAAGGTCTAATCTCTAAGATCTACAAGAAAATCCAACACCTCTACAACAAAAAGACAAACAACCCTATTAACAAATGGGCAAAGGAAATGAACAGGCACTTCACCAAAGAAGACGTTCAAGCAGCCAACAGACACATGAGGAAATCTTGCAATCACTAGCCATTAGAGAAATGCAAGTCAAAACCACAATGAGATATCATCTCACCCCGGCATTACTGGCATGAATCAAAAAAAAAAACTGGAAATAA